CGCGCCATATGACCGCCTCCCCTGTCATAGAGATCGGATAACACAACAAGTTTTGAGGCAAAATACTCATTCAAGCGCTGTTTTGATTTTGAATGGGATCAGCTTTGCTCGCATCCACTCTCATCGAGGCGTGTGCTATCTCGTCATGCTCTGCTTCTCCAGTATCTCCTGCGCTACACGAATATTTTCTTCTTTTTTGAACTGCTACTGTAAAAAATTTCAACATTAGGCCTACTTACATTCCAAATGACAGCACAAGTGTACGTATTGCCAGCGTTTTCGTTGCATACAGATGGACAAAGGTGTATTTCTTCTTCCCACAACGTTCCGCCTCGCCTGTCATTGCTAACGCTCTGTCTACTGCTCCTTCAATCTCATCTTCAGAAAACTGAAATAAGTTTTTACAATAATAGTTTTTGAAAATCATACGGAGTTGCTAAATGAGGAAAAAGGAGAAAATGCCAGGCACTTTCAAAAGGTTATTGTGCTCGCCTCTCATTTTTTTCACATTTAGGGCGAAAAAATGGCGAGAGCGAGATGAGCGGGAAATGGCGATGAAACGTGGGAGGGCACACCATTACACAGTGCGGCTAACAGGCTAACACACCGTTTAGAGGGGGTGTGGGGGGGGAGGAGGAATTGAGATTATATAGAGTATACAGGGGTGGCCAAAAAAAAGAGACACTTTGCCCATGGCGCACATCATCGAACTTTTCGTCGCACAGGGAGCCGATGTTAATGAAAGTTTTACGGCGGAATATTCCTTAGGTGTTCCCCCGTAAACAGAAGCAGGCCCTCCTTCACTGCCCCGCCGTCTTCAGAATATGACGTCATCTGCCGCCACCGTCGAGCTCAACGAGGCTTACCGTAATCGCTCCGGCCTGAAGCTGCTACATAATTTCTTCAATGATTAACTGGTGAATAGCTTCTAGAGACACTAGCTGTGACTGTGCAAGACCGCTTTTGACCAGCGTTTCAGGGACGTCGTAATGGTCTATGGTACCTCGACGACCTCGTGAACCATGTTTCCGTGGGAAAATCTTCTGATGTCGTCGGTGTAGAAGGCTGTCATGTAAGGTTTAGATAGATTAGAAGGTGCTCTTCAATACTGAGTTGGGGCAGTCGATTTGATTCTAGCAAAGTGTGATTAATGCTGTCTGAAATGTGGAGTCAAGTGTCTCTTTTTTTGGCCACCCCTGTATATCGTTCGCCAACAGTCCAGCCTTGGCTAGTTTAACATAAATGGCATCTCCAGAAGAGAAACGCATCGATCTTACTGATGTAAAGTTACTAACAAGGAAAGGATGGTAGGTCGAAGTGGCCGTATAAAATGAGATGTATACCACCTGATGCGTCTCTAGACGCTGATTCCAAATCTGCCTTCCAAATCTGCTAAACGGCTCTCCGAACGGAGTTATGAAGCGTAATAGCTCAGTGGTGATGGTCCGGGGTGGCAGGTAAAAGCTCGTAGGATCGGCTCGGGCGCGGCCGGGGGGGGGGGCGGCCGCGTGGTCCGGGGGGGGCAGAAAGGCGTAGGATCGGTTCCTTTGCAAGTTTGTTGCTTTGCTTTTGTCCGCAACACTTCTAGAGACAAAAGCAAAGCAACAACTTGCAAAGGAACCGATCCTACGAGCTTTTACCTGCCACCCCGGACCATCACCACTGAGCTATTACGCTTCATAACTCCGTTCGGAGAGTCGTTTAGCAGATTTGGAAGGCAGATTTGGAATCAGCGTCTGGAGACGCATCAGGAGGTATACATTTCATTTCAAACGGCCACTTCGACCTACCATCCTTCCCTTGTAAGATAGAAAATGTACGTAGAGATGCATTGTTGACCAGCAGTGAACAAAAAGGAAAAGGAGCCACCTAGCGCGGTGCAATCATGAGCACTCTCTTATGGACGAGCTTAGAAAAGGTGGGCGTGAGTCCAGCGAGACATCACACACAGAAAGAGTCACCGAGTGCCGAGGAGAGAGAAAACCTAGAGCAAAGAGAGAACATAGAAGACTAGAGAGGCGCAGACACATATTCGAGTGTCTCATATCCTTGCCTCATGAGTCATATTGTCCAGCAACAGTGAACAACAGAAGCGCCAGCGGCGCAAGTTACAAAGTTTTGGCACCATTATCGCGTACTTTTGAAGCGCTGGAACGGTATATGCTCTTTGGATTCAGTTACAGCACACTTACAGGAGAAACTGATAAATGTTAAATTCATTGTGGCATGTACCTTTAAGGTACAGTTAATAGATCACCTTGAGTTTGTCCCGTCTGAAGCTATTCACATAGATGAGAGCACGAACCGCCTTTTGACTTCCGATGCTTTTGTAGAAGAAATTTCGGACTTTCTGGAATTCCGCTGAAAGGACATTCAAAGCGAGTCGTTCAAAATATGTGCCGGTTCCTAGTTATTTCATTCAGTCAAACAGTACTCAATAGAAAACCTTACAAAGCAAGCAGGAGTGCAGCAGCCGCTGTTACCGCACTGCACGCCCGGGCCAATATCCTCCAATGACCAGTGAAGTATGCAAAAATAGCGAACAAAATGTAATTAGGAGCCCATGTGACCACCGTACACATCCAGAGACGATGTTTCGCTGGCAAGGCTTTCCACCACCAAAATTGTACCGACCCTGAAAATAACAAACGAGCGATCTTTTCAATAGTATAATAAACAATAAACAACATACAACATATAAATATATAATAGAGTGTGCAGCACTGTATCTCACATATTTGTTGTTTTACAAAAATAAAATTTAAAATTCCAAATAAAGTGCGGTCATGGCTTACGTGGTTAAGCCTCCACAAAACATTCCGATGAAGAATCGGATGTACACGTAGGAATCCATCGATGTAGAGAAAGAAGACAACAAAGTGCATAAACACATGCATATCAAGAGCAGTAAGGTGATCTAAATATTGTAAATATAAAGAGTACAGAAAATTTAACGTTTATTTAGAACTATTAGAAGGGTAAGTTACCCCCTTTCAAAAAGCGAGAAAGCGTCGGGTGCAGACCATACACCACAAGTGACGACGGCCTCACAAAATGTAAATGTTTTTGCCAATGAAATGATTAGCCTGTTGCAGTTGTATTCTATCAGTTGTCACTAATTACAACTATCATTTACCAAAAATCAGCTATCACTATGAACCACTACTAACCAGATTTACTTGGAAGCCGTCGTCACT